CTAAGGTTTATGACAATTCTTTAACACTTTCATGAATGACCCACCTCCTAAACACTGTCTTGCCTTTATCAAAACCTTTAGTATTTAACTGTGTCCCCTAACAAATCTCAACGTTATCTTGGGTTATGCGTCCATCACTTCTCTCCTTCTGTCTAGGCCTCCACTCTGGCCTTCTACTCCAACCACCAAGCTCAAGACCGCATTGTGGACCGTTCTTTCCCCCCATTCCATACTCTTGCACCACAACAGCATCAACCAATTCATTTGTTTACTTAACGAACATTTACTGACCAGCATCCATGTGCTCAAATCCATGATGGCCACCAGGACTGTAAGTGTGAACAAGCCAAACAAAATCTCTGTTCTCATAGTGCTATGGTTTAGCAGGAAGAAAGACAATGAAAAGTAATTTTAAAAGTAGTGATGAAGGCTGGGGAAGGGAAGTATGGAGGACTAACCACAGAAGCATATGGTAGAGGCATCACTAAGTTTTGAGATTAAGGGAAGAACATCCTCTCCTGTCAGAATTTTCTTTCCCTTATTCTCATCTAATCTGTTCTCCAACCTTATCATAGATGCAGGACCCCTGACATCCTTACCTTCTCTCAATTTGTTATTCCTTACCTTTTTTAAAATACTTATTCCAGGAGGATACATGAATCATTTTTTTTAAAACTCTTCTTACTGATACCCTCAATTCTCTTACTTCCATATTCTTCCATGCCTGACCTGGAAAATCCTTAACCCTGGATCAAGATAAATACCTTTTGACCTGGGCAGCAAAACCCTTGTAGACAAAAATTGCTCTATGATAAAGGCTCCACATTCATAGTTCTACCTTTGTTTCTCTGGCTCTACTGTCAACCTTCCTTTATATTCCAAGCGGCCTCAGGCTTCCCAATTCCTTGTGACATCTATTTTAATCTTCTCCATCTCTTCCAGCTCATAAGCCTATCACTATCCTCACTTGGAGTCACTTCAGAGGAAATGGTAGAAACCTTCATCCATCCATCCATCCATCCATCCATCCATCCATCCATCCATCCAGTAAATATCTAAGTGCCTAATAAGCACCAGCTACTCTTTCAGGTGTCGAGGAAACAAATTAACAAAACAAGACAAATCTCTGCCATCACAAGCTTACATTTTGGTGGGGGTGAAACACCAACAATAAACCTAATACACAAGTAAATGATACAGTTTGCAAAAGGCTGTGTTATTGGGGGGGAGGGTTGCATTTAGCATGTCAGAGAGGCTGGAACCCTACAGTGAGAGTTTTGCAACACCAAGTAGGATGGTCGGGGTGGCGGTGGGGGGTGCCTCGCAGAGAAGGGAGATGAGAGCCCAGACTAGAAGGTGGGGAGGGAGTCAGGCAGGTATACAGAGAGGTGCCCCAGGCAGAGGGACTGCCACTGCAAAGGTCCGGACTGGCAGCCTGTCCAGGACGTTGAAGGAATAGTGGGAAGGAGGCAATAGGTCCAGTGGGGCTTGTGGCTACTGTAAGGACTCAGCATTTACTCAGAGATACGCGGGAGCTACTGGAGGGTTTGAGCAGAGGAATCAGGCAGGAATTCCGTTAACGTATTGACTCCTCCTTCACTTCAAACTCATCTGCATTCATTCCCAGTCCATCGTTCCCGATGTTTCTGTGGGAAAGTTATTCCTTTTCTAAGGCGATCCACTTCTGTTCAGGATTTAAGCCATTGCTGTCCCAGCAGGCACCTCCCTGCATCGATTATCCCCATTTTATCTATACCTTTAACCCCTACCTCTATAAAATTGGTGTTGGCAGCCAAAACCACCCTGACCTTCTAAATGCCATCCTCAACCCTAGCTCCTGCTTTCTAATGGACTACCTTCTCTGCTCCTTTTACCACCTGTGTACTTGAAAGACGGTTTTCTCCTCCCTATCTCCACTTCCTCACCTTGTTAGTTAAATCACCCATTTCCTCACGGCACTTTATGAGCACACGTATCTGCTGGGAACGGTATTGGAGACAACAGAACTGGGGCATAGGGGCAAGTGGCCACGAGGGGAAGTAAAGCACCATCCACTGAAACTGCTGTAGGCTAAATCCACGGATGTTCCTCGTTTACATTGTATTTTGACATAACTTGACACTGCGGAAAAGTTGCAAAAATAGTAGGAAAACTTCCCAGATATCCTTTACCACAATTCTCTAAATGCTAACATCTTATTATATTAGCTTTATTCTCTAGTCTCTTTTTCCCTATAGATTTGTATATGTATACACATGTATAGCTCACTCTTTTTGGAACTGCAGGTAAGATGTCCCTTAACTATTACTTCGATGTATATTTCTTAAGAACAAGGAATTCCTTAAACCACAGGTTTTCAATATCGGGAAGAATAGCGAAGCAATACTATTATCTAGAGATACTTAAAAAAAACTTATCTCTTCTCAGTATGTGACTTGGATAAACTTGCACTTCAAAATTACTCCTTTTAGAAGTATGACTGTTACACAAATACACTGTAAAACATTTTTGAAAAAAGGCAGAAGGAACAAAATTCAAATTATATTCCACCATCCAGAGAAAGCCACCACTAATTTTTATACACATACACAAAGACAAATATGCATACACATAAATGTTTAAAAACACATGGATTATACTGAGCCTATTACTCTTTTGTAACCTGCTTTTCACTTAATATAGTTAACGTTTGCTCATGCCGTTAAGTTGTTTTCCGAACTATTTTGAATAGCTGTATACCCATCTGTCACATAGACAGTGCTTCCTTGAAACCCTTCCTGCCTTTACTTCCAACTCAACTCTCTTCCTTCTTTCCCAGTCGAAAACCTGCATTTTCATTTTATTCCCTGCCTGTCTCTCTATATTGGTCTTCCCTGGATTCTGTCTTCAACTCTGTTACAGCCCACTAGCTTTGACTCCCTGCATGTTCCCAAAATTTCCATTCCAGATCATTCCTGAGCTTCAACATCTTCGAATGGATGTTGCCTCCCATCCAACACTCCTTTCCCTCTCGGTCACGCTCCTCTTGCATGCCATCACCTTAACCTGTCTCTCTGCCTCACTTATCCCCTGTACTCACTGGTTACCATGCCATAAATTCGGCTTTGCAAATACACCTTAATCCACCGTCTTTCCATAACGTTGCCAGCACCTTATCTCAGGTCTTCATGATTTCTTGCCCAGATTCATGCAAAAAGACTTTATCTGGTCTCTCTACTTCAGTTCTCCAGCCCCTCTTCCCTCCTGCTACAGCCAGGATTCCGTATGTGAATACAATCATGCAACCCCCTTCCTCTGATGCCTCCCACTGTACTCAGAATATGGTAAACATCATGTGGAATACAAATGCCTCTCTAGACTCTATCCTGACCCTGTCCGGCATGCCATCAACCACTCACACCGTACACACCAGGAATGCTGAACCACTGGCAATTCCAAATCCCATGCCTCTGTGTCTTGGCCTCCTCCCATGAAATGTTCTATCTGTCCAACTTCCCCCTCCCCAGATCAATGCGTGCTTTATTCCTACTCATTTTTAAGGCTGAGCGCCGGCATCTCCTCCAGGAAACCTTTCCTTATCCCCACATCCCAACCCGGTCTCTATTGGGTCCCTTCCTGGGAAACCCTTCTTGGGGATCTTTGGCCTTCCCTCTGGAAATATCAAAGTGCAATATGATGGTCTGGTATTTATTCACCCTACTAAGCCCCAAACCAGGGCCATTCTCATACACCTATTAATCCGTAATAGCACCAAGCACATTCTCTGGCATAAGTCAAATTCTAGTAAGTGTTTTATAAAAGAACTCATGGATATAACACCCTTTTGCTATTTCCTTATTGTTTCCATCTGTTATCATTAGTATAAGAGTTATGCATTCGTATTTCATGTTATGTAATACGTATAATTCCTTTTAGTTGTGGTGTGTATTAAATAAGTGATCCTGAGAGCTGGAGTAAGTCAATTACAAATTTATGTAAGTATAGCATTTCCATTTAAGAGGTTTGATAAACACAGCAGATTTATGAAAAGGGTTAAAAAATTTAAGAATTATATATGATAGAAATAACTTTTTTTTATTGAAATAGTCCGAGCTGGGTAATTTGGCAAATATATAATCACAACCTCACCGTTACTTTATTACAACAATGGCTTTCTTATCAGTAATTTCATTAGCAAAGACATGAAACTTGGATATTTTGTTTGTTGGAGACAAACTTTGTTAATGTGAAAGAGATCAAAACTAACTTAAGGACCGAAAGCTGCTTTATAAAGTCTAATTTAGATCTCTAGTTGACATGACAGTTACTTAGGAGGATGGTTTGGTTAAGTCTGCTTAAAGAGTATCAGAAGCCAAATTCTGCCTACCTAAATGTGCATAATTGGAAAAAAAATCATACAAATGAGAGAAAAAGGGCAGGAGTTATTAACATAATAAAGCAATAATGGCTTTATTATAAATATTGCAAACAATCCATTGTAACAAGCTATCCCTTCAAAAGAAACACTTTAAAAGTAGTTAAATTCATTACCTTACATATTAATTGTTTATTAACAAATAATTTAACTCTTAAAATTTCTATGATGAGGATGTGAGAGTATTTCCTTGGTTATGTAGCCATTTAGCGAAACAGAGCCAAAAGGGTAGAATAAAAAGACTTGAAGTAGGAAATAAGGCTGGTAGGTTTTCATCATGCTCAGGGACAGGTGCAGACACAACTGCGTGCGTTTTTATTAAGCCTAATAAATTTAGGAGGAAGAAAAATGAAAAAAAAAACGCTTTTGATTTTATCTCCTTTATAGGATATCAACATTTTCAGCAAATAATTCATAACATTGGATAAAAACATAATTGCAGGTACAGGATTCTGAGTAAAGCTATAGTACAATTTTATACTACAAACACACATGCATATACCCACAGAGAAATACTTGCATATATAAATAAACTAAGAAAAACCATGCTTTGTATTAATGTGAAAGTCTAATATTTATTCCTTACCTGAACCTGAGAAATTGTCTAAAGACCCGTCTGCTGTTGTTGAAACTATTTCACTGCTGCTCATTGGCTCTGTTTTAACTACAAAAATAAACAACATATATGATATATCCAATTAATAGTTATCTGTAAAGGCATGGTAGAGAAGCTATATTCAAAATAGTCACATGAAAATCATTTTAAAAAACAGTCTTTCAGTATGTGAATATAATTCAGATTAATATTTGTATATAGAATTTTTAAAAAGACATACACGTTAACTATTTAATCCCTAAGGAAATGATCCATTGTAACAAGCTATTCTTCAAAAGAAACACTTTAAAAGTAGTCAAATTCATTACCTTACATATTAATTGAATTGCTTATTAACAAATAATTTAACTCTTAAAATTTCTATGATGAGGATGTGAGAGTATTTCCTTGGTTATGTAGCCATTTAGCCAAACAGAGCCAAAAGGGTAGAATAAAAAGACTTGAAGTAGGAAATAACGCTGGTAGGTTTTCATCACGCTCAGGGACAGGCACAGACACAATTGGGTGCATGCGCACATGCAGACACACGCACGCTCTCTTGGTTATCCAATATGGCTGAAAAACAGAGTACTCAATTTAATGGATCATTATTACCACTCGGCCATATCTGGCTGCCAATATGTCAATATCTGATGTACACTTAGTACAAAACCACACTAAGTGTAAATGAAGCAGGAATTAAGTTTTTCATTCCAAAATAAAACCAATAGCAGATAGTTTGTGGAAAACATTTTGATCTTTAGTAAAGTCCTTTGTGGCTGTACAATAAAAACATTCAGATTTATGCTGTAGATTCATGATAGCAACCCAATCCATTGATATAGTGATGGTATTATTGACCCCTATTAAGCAGATAAGCCAGACCACCTCAGAACATTTGCCTTTTTCCCTAGACTTAGGTGTTCTGTTCTGTTCTGTTTTGTTTTAATGAAGAGATAGCATTATTGTTCTTAGAAACAACTGGTGAAGTGCTATCATTGGAATTTGTGGCCCACTTTGTAGAAGTTATACATCCCCACTAATGGGTTTTCAGAAAGAATGCAATAATATCTCAGAGGCCACTTAAAAATCAGTAACATGTTTTCCAAAATAAAGGTCCTACCAAGAGAATATTTGGGGTGGCTTCTCTCACAAGTAAATACATTCTGAAATGGGAAAGAAGGATGGAAAAAATGCAGCTTTTCCTTCTCTCAACATTGCTAATCTCTTATAAATATCAGGCAAAGAACAGATTCACCCTCCTTGACCTTTGAATCTTTTACTAATGCATAATGAGTTTTCAAATAGACATTATAAATAGTTGCAGCAGATAGTCACTTCCAAAAAATTAATTATTTAAACTGCTTCTAAACAAAGTTGAAAAATAAAGCCAGTGAGTCTAATGGGAATCACTCCAAGTGATTGTTTTAATGTAGACCAGACAATAGTGTAACTGAAGTTTTCACTTTCCACCAGTTGTTTGGGGTTAAAAGTCTCAGCTCATGCTAATAAATTCTGACATAAGCCTGTATTTCCCTTTTCTCTTCACACCTCCAGGCAATCTAATGATCTTGCTCTTCATAACCATTATACTGCCATAGATGGTGGAAAGTGGGTCCTCCACTGCTGGTGCACAGCTCCAAAGTGTCCTACCCAGTTGTCCACATCCTATCCATCCTTCCTGAAAGAACTCATAAATGCCCTGTACCTATAAAGCAATAGCTCTATTTTACTCTGTACTAGACAGATTACCACAGGGATCTGAACTCAGAATCAAAGAGCACACGCTGATCAAAGATGAGAATCAGGCTCAAGGAGAAGAAGTCATGTAAAGTGCCTACTATTGTCAGACTATAGACATTATGATTAATCCTTTTAAATCATTCTCCAAGTAGGTCTCAGAGTACAACTCACAAACTCCCTAGTTGGGTACTGTCTTCTTGTTTTACATGCAAAAATGGAAACCAAAGGGATTAGCAAAATTGCCCAAAGTCACAAGTGGCAGAAATGGGAATTAATTTTGGATATTTTCAATTCTACATCTTGAAGAAATGACAATACATGGCACTTCCCAATAATTAGCACTACTCTACAACAGAGCGAGGAACCTGAGGCACAGTGCCACACACTGTGAATACAGAAGGAAGTAAAACCCCAGCAGTCCACACCCTCCTCTAGAGTGTTAACACTTCTAGGCTAGTGCACTCACAGGACGATCTCAGGTAGAAGCTCCACGTCCACTTGCTTGAGAAAATGGTGAAGAAGAAATTTTCCAGGGTACAAGATATTAGCCCAGATTACTTCCAAGTCTTTGCCAAATCTAAGATCTATGATTCTGTAGATTGGACTATAAAATGACTCGGTGAAAGCTTGACTATTCCAAAACCATTCCTACTCTTGTACCCCGCCCCCCCCCGAAGACTTACTCTAGCTATTCTCCATATTATTAGCTCAATCGAATATAGCTTTCACTCCCAGGAGACATATTCAATTATACTTGAAATTCCATTAAAAGTAGGAAGGGAAGGAAGAGGATAATTTTTCTTTTAGGTCCCAAGTACATTGCCTTTTGCCATTGTTCAAATATACCCATCTATACTATAAGGACTAAAGACTCCCGTTTCCTAATGAATCCAATTTTTTAAAAGGCTGAGCAAAGGAGTTGGGGGGGGATTGTGGAGATTAAAGAGGCAAAGGAGAGTTTCTGAATATTTTTAGAGATGAGTAGGTCCTTAAAGTATCAGAGGGAAGACTGAAGACTTAGAGGGTAAAGAGAAATTCTTGAGTGGGGGCAAAGGAGAATAAAAGTTGCTGTTTTCTAATAGACTGAAATCCTGTAATGAAAGAAAAAGTACAGTGGAGATGAAAGAATTGTACAGTTATTTATTTATTTATTAAAGAGGATACACATAAAGTAACTGCCAGGATATTCATGATTTTATCAGGTACTGGAATTGAATACTTTGATCACCAGGGACCTGATGCTAAAGAAACTGGAGATTTATTGTGATGTAAAATAGTTTGAGTGAAAGCCAAATGAGGGGAGACCACTTCTGGTGTTGTTGCCAAGCATACACCCACCAGAAAGTTAAAAAGACAAGACTGATCTCCAGCCACCAAACTATCCATCTTCACTACCACTATCACATTTATAAATATGCCACAGATGATATCATAGAGCACCTCTCCAAGGCTTCCAGTTTAAAACACCACATCCTGATTTTTTTTTTTTTCCAGTCTTAGAGATTTAAGGTACTGTCACATCTGAGAACAATGATCCCATCTAAGACACTTATCTGAAAAGAAAACTCCATGAAGCATCTGTTCTCTTCTAAATAACTAAACAATTCTCGGGGCCCCTGGGTGGCTCAGTTAAGCAGCCAACTCTTGGTTTCAACTCAGGTCATGATCTCAAAAGTCCGGGATCCAGCCCCCGCATCAGGCTCGACACTCAGCAGGGAGTCTGCTTGAGGATTCTCTCCCTCTCCTTCTGCCCCTCCACCCATCTGTGCGCATGCTCTTTCTCTCTCCCTTTTGCTTGCTCTAAAATAAATAAATAAATCTTTAAAAATAAATAAATAAATAACTCTACAATTCTTTCATCTCCACTGTACTTTTTCTTTCATTACAGGATTTCAGTCTATTAGAAAACAGCAACTTTTATTCTCCTTTGCCCCCACTCAAGAATTTCTCTTTACCCTCTAAGTCTTCAATCTTCCATCTGATACTTTAAGGGACCTCCTCATCTCTAAAAATAATCAGAAACTCTCCTTTGCCTCTTTAATCTCCACAATACCCCCCAACTCCTTTGCTCAGCCATGTACTCTAGGCCTGCACTATACAGGGCAACTTGCTACCCTCCAGGGATGCCACAAACTCCCATCTATCAACACCTTTGAACCTTGGTTCTGGAGTCAAAGACTCCAGTTATCCGCTATATGACTTTATAAAAGTTATTTGATCTCTGACCTTAATTATCTCATGTACAAATTTTTTTAAATGATAGCTAGATTACAGGAATGCAGGAAGGGTCTGTAAAAATTTATACAAAGTACCTGGTATAAAGTAGGAGTGGAAACTATATCTATCATCATCATTACTAGTAGCAGGATTCTGCTACACTGAATGCCTTTCTCCTGGGGAGTAGTACCAGAGAGCAATATCAAATAAAGATAGTTAGAAGTACCAGCTTTGGAATTATCAATTGAATTTCAATCTAGCTTTGCTATTCACAGCACAAATCTGGAAAAGTTAGTCAATTTCTGTGTGTCTCAGCTTCCTCATCTGTTAAATGGGGATAACATACTCATGCAAGGATAAAAAAAAAAAAAAAAGAAGAAGAGAAATGCTTAGAAATCACTGAGCACTGTCCAGTGGTTTACAAATCATTAGCCCAGTCCAAAGGCCATACTTTTATACTCACTTTATCATTATAGGTCTCTTTAAGAGAAATTGAAGTCTTACGGGATAAAATCTATTATAAACTTTACATTAAAGTTAAACTTGTCCTTCGAAAAGTAAATTAAAAATATAAAGTCAAACGACTTACCTAAGATCTAACATGAGGCCATTTTACTCAGGACAGCCAATATCAAATCAAGATAACTTGAACGTAACTTAAGAACACAGGATTAATCATGATTATATAAGAAAACTATAATTATACGGTAGTCCCCCTTCATCTGTGGAACATATGTTCCAAGTCCCCCAGTGAATGCCTGAAACCATGGATAGTACCAAAGCTTACACATACTATGCTTTTTCCTATATGTACACACCTATGATAAAGTTTAATTTATAAATTAGGCACAGTAAGATTAGCAACAAAATAGAAAAATTATACTGTAATAAAAGTTATGTGAATATGGTCTCTCAAAATATCTTATTGTACTGAACTCACCCTCCTTCTGATGATGTGGGATGATCAAATGCCTACAGGATGAGATGAAGTGAGGTAAAGGATGTAGGCACTGTGACATAGTGTTTGGCTGTCATTGACCTTCTGACGATACGTCAGAAGGAGGACTATCTACTTCTAGACCACAGTTGACTAGGACCATGGAAAGCAA